ATCTCACTCATTAAAAATTCATATGGTCTGATTTGGCTGTGATATGCGCCAATTTTTTCGCAAAATTTTCCAGCAAATCATTTGAGAATTGACATGCTGTTCAATTATTCTTTGTTTTTTAGACGAAGAGTGAATGGAGTTATTGCTAGTTATCTCCACTTATAAGAACTACATTGGTTTTATTCCAAGACGTGATAGACGAGCCCCTATTTAGAATCTTCAAACATGCAGCCGAAATATCTGGGCCAATAACGGATCATTGGGACTGAAAAAGGATGCATGGAAGCCATTTGGACCGGGTGCCTTAGAAGGGCTCATAGATTGAAGAGCACCCCATACCTCATCACCTGTAAATCATTTGAGAATTGATATGCTGTTCAATTATTCTTTGTTCTTTAGACAAAGAGTGAATGGAGTTATTGCTAGTAATCTCCACTTACAAGTACCGGAAGATATACTATAAGTTGATCACCGCACACACACGCAAAACGGATAATATTGATATTGACAAACGGGTCGACCGGTGATGACCGCATAGGGAAACATGTACATCTTGGTCTATATCGATCGTTCTATCTTCTCCGTGTGTATGTGTATGCGTGCGTGTGAAAGCGTTGCTATTATCAGCTCGCCATTTATCAGTATCACAATTTGTTTATTAGGAATAGTTTCAATTGTTAAAAACCTGAAAGATTAACGCTCATACAATCCGAAGATCGCATTTACGTGAGTAAGAAATACCCAAAAACGAAAACTCAGCCAATAATAACGTGAACATTATCAAGTGGTCCCGATCTCTAAAATCACACCCCCCTCGTCCTACGTAATTGTTGATCCGTAGACGAAACTCCCTACTCTCCTGTCCAATCGCGCGAAATGGCCGTGCATGGTTACCGTCACCGCTCAGGATCAGCCGCGCGTTGCGGTTCACAAAATTTGATTCGGCGGTCTGGCAGGGACCGGTGAGCTTATACAGCGGTGATCTTACCGCCGCCCTTTAGGGGCCCTTATTGGAGCAGCGGTGCCTGGGCAGATGAGCGAGCGTTTGCGCCGTGACAATCTGAACAGACGGCATTGTTTTCGTCGTGTAGGCGGGGGAAATTTTTTTGTGTATGAGAGGAGGCAAAGACGGATAATAGGAGGCGTATTGCCGTGGTTAGCTGTAATTTCAATACGGTTGGATTATCATAAAGCTCTATTGTTGAACCAATAATGACTGGCACTAATAGATTTTTGAGTTATACTATATAATATATAATATAACTATATGAAAAATAGAGAAACTTGGGATACGCAAGTTGCTTAAACATTGTAGTGATGGTGACATAATCTTCCCTACATCATACTCGGATAGCGCATCAACCACCCTTGTCCGAACTTCAATGTAGATTGTAGGGAAAGATTATGGGCACATCAATACCAAGTGTTTGGAGGAACTTGGGGTACCAGTTTCACATTTTGCTCTCTCTCTGTCTCTCTCTCGTCGTCTCTCGTCTCTATATATATATATATATATAATATATATGTATATCTATTGAGAAATGGGGCTTGTATAATAGAATGCTAAAACATACATTACAACTATTATATTTGCAATACTAAAAATTATTAAATTCTTTTAGAGGTTCATATTCATGCAGACGGAAACACGCACAACAATCCCCCCAATAACATGTTCGACCAATAGCACTCACACACCCATCAGAATGGACCAACACAACCCGGTTGCAATCGCCGCCCCTGTTTCCCCTCACCGAGCCTATATGTCGATATTCGCCACGATGGTTGGCTGTTGGTGTCAGATGCTGTCCGCCGGATAGTATTGGCCTGCACTCATGTTATAATAATCAATGTTATAGGCTGTTTAAAGGTTCGGAACCCTAAACCAGAAGCAGGTTATTGGAGGAGGGTAAAATCAAAACACAATACGCCGCAAAGGATCCAACGTTTATTCACGGGATGTAGCATTTGCATTGGAAATTCAAGATAATGGTGGGAGGGATTTGAATAGGAAGGTCTATCGTCTAAAAGAGGTCTCAGAACCAAACGATATGTGGAATCTGGCGGGGTTATGGGTTCCTGGGACATAGATTTGGAAGAACTGACTACGGAGGATTCAATTATAATTCATATCTAGTGTTAAAAGTAGCAAATAAACCAAGGCGCTGAGTTCACCGACATTAATATCTTTGTATCTTTAGAAAAAGGGTATCAATTTAATGATTAATCCCGCCCACCCTCGAAAGTGTTTCCCGCCAGTTTCCCGTAACATAGAATATCCTTCAGCTATTAATGTGATGCTTATTTAGTCTCTATAAGATGAATTCTACATAGTTGTTTACAGATAACAGAACCGCAATCTACAGCAAGTCAATGTCCTTAGTGGCGCACGTCACGGAGCAAATTTTAAGAATACGATAAGGTAGGTCCGGATACAGCAAGCTAAGGGAGCGACGTATACTTAAATGATCAAAACCTGTGCATCATTCGACAAATGCATGTTTGGACCGGTTTGATCATAGAAAACGTAATAAGGATTAGTGAGTGCTGTCGAATAACAACTTCGGTCATTGGTATGAGAGAAGAGTACAAGAGTTAGAGTCCACAATAGATGGTATCAATGGGCAAGTGAATGAGTGGATCGAAAATAAAGATAGGTGCTTGATGGATATGGACCTCTCCTCGTGCAGTATTTTCTCTCCTCTATGGCTCCAGATAAAAGATAAAGTTACTGGACTCTCATACAAACAAGCACGCCAACATGACTTCTTTGTGGCTTGAGCGTGCAAGCATACGGGCCATAGACGATGCTCATCTATATATGAAGGTATGGGTATGGGACGCCTTGGTAGCAAGACCACTTTCAAAAATTTTGTTCGGCTTGGGCTAGTGAGGTGAAACATGAGCCTTGGCCCGTTGAG